TTGTATACATTATAAAATGTAAAAATCTTAATTTGTAATGCGATATTTTTAAATAAAATAAAATAAAAATCGTTTTAGCATTTAAAATTATTTAATGTATTGAGTTATCAGTCTAATATGCCAGTAAAATAAATAGTCTACAATAGTTACACCATATAATATAGTATAACGCGAAAAAACTATCTACGTAGACCGATAAAAAATTCTTGTATTAAAAATACAACTTATAAGGGGACATCCACATTTAACGTTAAACGATGTTTGTAGTACCAGATGCATCCCGATGCAATATATACATATAACTATGCCTAATATAAAGCGAAGTTGATAAAGCCACGATTTCGAATAAACCGTTGGTTACAAAGTAAAAGGTATATTACCCGTAATATAACATATTTATTTATTCATTTACACTTTTCACATACGTTTTTATACTGGCGGTTATTACTGTTTAGCCGTTTAATCGTAAATATATAAAAACGTTTTACACATGACAGCTTGATGGAGTAGCAGGTTTTTATACTTTCTCGCAAAAAAATCCTGATACTCAGGATCGTCTTCGTAAAGAAGGTAATGGTCAATAAATATCTACGCTCTTAGTTTATGAATTTGATTTACAAATTTTATTGTTATACCTCCCGAGGTCGATAGCAATATAATAACTAAATTTACAACTACAGTATTCATAGAAACGGTTATGCAAGTTTATGGCTGAGAAATATATGAATTCTGATCCGCAAAAATGGCTTAGTGCTTGGAATGTTTATTGGACAATAAAAGATTGGCTTGAGAAGATAGCTAGTTCAGACGATAATGAAATTAAAAAGCATTCTTGGATGTTGATAATGTTATTAAATCATCACTGATACCAAAGCATTTAGATGAAATGTACACTAGCAAAATTATTAGCACGAAATTAATTTCAAAGGTGATTAAAGGTATTTATTTATTTCAACTTACATATTTTGTCATCGTAAATCGCTCTAAAATCTTTAACTTGCAGTGGAAATTTGCAAAGGATCGCGACTAAAGTTTGCACCTGATGCTATATTGAATTGGCTGAGAGATGTATGAATTCTGATCCGCAAAAATGTTTGACAATAAAAGATTGGCTTAAGAAGATAGCTAGTTTTTAATAAATTCATTTATCACGAGGGTTAAAGAGCTAGTAAATTAAAAATTCAGATCGACCAAAATTAAAAGGATCACGAAGATTTCGGAGTCCCGTGCCCTTGGTACCCTAGCCATGGTGCCGGACATGTGAGATTCTACTCGAACTATCACGCTCTGATTGGACGAAATTGACGATTCTTTTAATAACAGATAACGATAATATTTTTTTCAGGTGCTCAACCCCTACTGTGATAGGCCAATCAGAGTTCTTATTGATCAGCCACTAAGATCCCTGTCGATAGTTAAGAACACGAATTTAATAATTTGGTCTAATTCGACAGAAATGTCTCAACAGCTTCATGCAATTGTTTCTTTTGCTCCTTCATCAAATTGTTTTGTAAATCTTCCATTGAAATGGGCCCAATATCTTTCTGAACAAAACCAGGTACTAATTCATATAAAAAATATTTATTTCTACTGTTATTTCGAGGCGACACGTTTTTAGATTTACATTTTGACAGTTACCACAAAATGTTATTCTAGAATTATCTTGGCATGACGCTAAAATTGCACAAGGCAAGGCATATGTTGGGTGGTCTGGACTTCCTTCAAAAGCTGATCATTCCGAAACTATCGAGATAGACCCGCAATTTGGCGAAGCTATTGGTTTACACAATGGTCAAAAGGTAGAGCCTGACTTATATTTCAACCTTATCATATGTGATCTAATATTTTTAAATATCACATGATGTGTAGGTTTATGTTAAATTCGAGGATATATTACCGGAAGCCAGTTCTGTAGAAGTTGAACCAATTAGCCCTGATGATTGGGAAATAATAGTAACGTTTTGTTTTTGCTGTGTATCTGTCGCTAAAGCACTCCAAACATCTCTTTAATCAAATATGTCCTTAAAAGGAACGTAATAGTAAATATTTAGAAGACTGTTTTATTAAGCAACAACGCGTCGTATATCCCAATGAGGTTATAGTGCTTTGGATCAATTCGAACGTTACACGGATAAAAATTAGTTAGTTTTCTATAGATATATCTCTATCTTTATGAAAGAAATAATGTGACATTTAATGAAAAACTTTCATTATTTAGTCAATATTAATACAAAGGGACCTTGCGCTAAATTAAGTGAAAGTACTGAAATTTTTGTGGCGCCCAAGTCAAGAAAGACAAAAAATAGTGCAGAAATTAAAGATATCGCGTCAAACGGCATTTTTAATGCTCGTGTAAATTGTTTGCGCGTTTTACCTCAGGCGTTTCTTTCTTCTGATTTATTGCAACCGAGTGCCAATGATTTCTGTACAGTATATATTCATCCGAATGATCTTGCACGAATCGGGCTTCCAAATCCTAAAATTGTACGTGTATCTAAAGTACAACCACCCTATCAAAATAAGGAAACTGAAGATAAATCAGATAATGATGGCAGAAACAATTCACTACCAGCATTATATGTTAAAGTACTGGAGAAGGGCAGCGTGGTCCCTGGGCATATCGTATTGTGTGAGAGTATAATGGATGCCCTGGATGTGCAGAAGTTTGACATCATTCGGTGAATTATGAAATACTACTTATATTAATAATTTAAGAAATTTATATTCATGACTAATGTCTTATTTTTTTATATAGCTTAGCTCTTCCGCATTTCCATTCTACTTCATTAACTCACATAATAATTCGATGTATTTCAAGCCCTTTCCAATCTGCTTCGCTAAAACCTCATTCCAGCGCTAGGTTTGTGAATACCATAATTGCCAGATAATAAAAATCTTTTATAATGTTTATTCATCTTTCATTAGTTCAACATCTGTAGATAAATCCGCAATTTCTGCTATAACTACATCAATTAATGGTAAATAACATAATAACGCTTTCACTTACATCTTCTAACTACAATAAATAACGGTTGCACTTCTAAATAATTAAGCATGGATTGAGAAGCTATCAACATCTTTAGATATTGTCTTGACAAATGGGATGAAATTATCGTCGTCTTTGACAAATAGTGATATAAACGTTGCAGTTTTCTTTGGCGGAAAAACAATTAGCCAAAACGATGGTCGGCACGGAAGGAGCGATTCTTCAGAAATGTATGCAATAAATCAGAAGAAAGAAACGCCTGAGGTAAAACGCGCAAACAATTTACACGAGCATTAAAAATGC